AATAGTTTGTATTAATAGTAAAAAAAAGCATCCAGTAAAGGAATTTGAACTTGGTCCGGATCATTGGTAGTCGAATGTCTCTACCGCTGGGCCAGAATGGATTAGACACTTGGGACAGAATTTACGTCCTTATCAGGTACATCTAAGACTAACGTTTATTTTATGATTTTTTGAATAGCATTTACTGTCTAAGTTATCTAATTGATAATTAACTTTTTGTAAATGTACATTTTACATTGTTTCGTGTCTCTTAATACGTTTGTCAACAGTAAATCTAGTAATTGATTTTACAACTTCCTTTTGTTCACAGATTGTTGAAGGCAAAACGTGCGCTGTGCTTGTCATCACAGTTTTAAAATGCTGACTGAACGCAAGAGTTTTTCTGTCCTTTATGAAATCGTAAGGCAGTAGATTGATTGAGACCAACGGCAATGATACTCCAACGGCAGCACTGACAACAACGGTGGTGACAACAATGGAGATTATAAACCCCGCCGCAGGTGAAGTGATTAAGACTTCGCACAACTGCAAGCTACCATCTTTTTGTAGAGCATCTCTGGAGGCGTCGTTTTTCCAGATTGAGTCAGCTTTCAATTGGAATCAGGTGCGTTCAGACAATACGCGTTTTAATCTTGTTGTCACAGCCTTAAGCAGTGAGGTCCCGTAAGAACTTCTAGACAATCTGCATGCCATGCCAGACACAGACAAATATAGCTACTTGAAGGGGCATATGATTACGCGATATGCCTATACTAAAGAGGAGTGCCTTCGAACTTTTTTTACACAGCTGCACGTCGACGGTCGCACTCCGTCGCAGCTGTTGCGTGACATTTACTCCCTCATAGGCACAAAGGACAGTGACGAAGTGCTCAAGATCTAGTGGCTGGACCTTCTGCTGGTATCCACTCAAAAGAAACTGCGCATCGGTAACGGTCCAAAGGCTCATGGACATTCCCGAGAGAAGCCAAGGCTATGTTTAATGGTTACTGTTTCTATCATCATCGCTTTGGTATGGACGCCAGAAAATGCGAGCAGCCTTGCACCTGAAAATCTGTTCCGGGGCAGAGAAGTTAATCAAGCTGCCGTTAGTGCAGACGGCTTACGGTAGCAGACTGCCTAAAGAGAACTGCCTCCATGTCTACGATAAAAACTCTGGTCTGAGTTTCTTGGTTGATTCAGGTTTGTTATGTCTCTTTTACCACGCTTAGCCGTGCATTAAAGGCTTATTATTCAACCTCTAGAACTTTCAGTTGCCAAAGTAGCAACATACGAACGCCACATGATGACGCTTAACCTGGGGCTCAGAAAAGCATTTACCTGGCCTTTCATAATCGATGATATTTAAGGGCCATCATTGGTGCTGATTTTCTGGTACATGGAGGCCTCTTGGTAAACATGCAGCGTCGTCAACTCCTGGACTCAACCACTTCTTTCATCATCCCATGTACATCAGGGCTTATGTTGGACTCGTTTAGTCGTGGCTGTGCTTTTTCTGCTGCTTGGTACTTCACATCATTACTGGTACTTTGGGATGGTTAATGCACCAACAGTCGTCTTTCCCACGTGTGTTCTTTTGTAGACTATTGCTGTATGTATTAGTGACTTTAAATGCCTTGTGTTATGCGTGTTCTGCTTTATTTGCCAATTCATTGTTGAGACCTTTAGGCTGCTCACGCCATCTTAAGTATTAGGTGCCTTATAACTCTTACGCCAGCACTAGTTGTATACAAACAAAAAATCAATAGATTACCTTGCAAACCGTGGATATTGAGCTTAAATATTTTAATCGATAGCACACACTATCTTTCAGTCACCGGTAAAGTGCGCAATGACAAAGTGCCCTGTTCAAAACAGCCGCAAAAAAAGAAACGAGCGAGGAGACGATGAAGGAGATTCCTCATCAGTCCCACCGCTACCTGATCCCTTACTTACGCTCAAAGAGGTCACAAGAATTGCCTTGAAAACTGATTTGCACAGTGAAGCGTTTCTTAAATTGTGAAGCACATAAAAGGAAGCTCCACGTTTTAAGAAGCTGCAGGATGATATTAAGGAAATGAACGAGTCATTTCAAGTGTTAACAAATGCCTACGTGTAGCAGCTTACCATTGCCAGTGCAGCTCATTATAAAGTGGCCTTAAAATGTGCATGTCAGTCTGGGACTGGGACTAATTCGGTTCTCATAACTGTGAGCATAGACGATGCCTGTAAATCATATGCGGTTGCTGTTACTGTGGGCGCTTCGTGGGTGGACAAATCAGTGCACATTATCTCACTTAATAATGGCAAGACTATCTTTGTTGCACATAAGGAACGTATAGTGATTGCTACGTCAGCTAAGATTAAGGAAAAGCTTCTAAATACAGTAAAGCCTGCACAGTTGGGTCTTTGCATCAAGCGTGTTGACTATGGACCTAAACATATTGGAATTCTTGACGGCCACGGTTTGAGTCAACGGATTTTCTTGCGCTGTCTTCAGTTAGCAAATGTGGGGCTTGAGGTGAGACCTGATGAGAGAATGCGTCCACGTCTCATCGTCCACGATATTCCTGTCGACTAGGAGAAGACTGAGATCGCCAGTTGTATTATCATGCAGAATCTTAACTCAGCAGTAGCCAACGATGTCAAGCCTGCCTTGAAATATCTTGTCGTGTATAAAAAGATGCGCTCCTGTGTAATTAAGGTAAAGCTGGAGCACAGATTGGACCTGCTGCGATAGCATTATCGTATCAACCCCAGACGGTAGCTTTTTAGACTTAACCAAGTATCAGAATTTGACTTTAGCAGATCTAGATTTCCGTTCCCTCGATAAAATTGATATGTTGCTAGATGTATCTGTACATGCTTTCGTAATAAATAGTGAGTTCTGCAAGGCAACGTTAATGAACCTATCGCTTCTTCTTCGGAATTGGGATGGCTACTTTCAGGTCCTACTTCCACAAGTCCAAGTAGTAAGGCTCAAGATTCACTCGTGCTCATCAACACTGAGTTATGTGACCACGAGCAGTAAGTAAAAAAATTTTGGGAGATTGAGAAACCTCCTTCCTTGAAACGTAAGCTAAGTCATGGCGAGTTGTAGTGTGAGAGTTTCTTCTTAAATAGTACTATATACAAATTTCTGACTTTTTTGACGACAAAAATGTAGATGTCTACTTAGTTGACCTGTCAATATTCTTAGCACGGTGTATATCAAGTTTATGTGTTTTTATTAAAATGCTAAATACATTTCTAAACATACATTATAAATCATACTTAGTACTCAGAAAGTTATGAAAGTATTTAAAATTAATGAATTTGAATTGATGTTGTTTACTTATACGCAGTAGGGATAGCATGATGAGTTATGAGGTTATTGGGCTTACAATCTTCCATCCCTTTTGTGAGAGCTAGAGGTTTTTTGTACCCAATGAAGCCCAGAACGTTATCCAAATGGCCAAAACGTTGTTTTTGTTTTTTAGTAAGTATAAAAATATGATAGTACCACGATTGGACGAAGTTTTTAATTACCAACCAACTTTCATTGGAGGTTTTATTCATGTTTTTTTAAAAATAATTTTTAGAACTTCTTCACCATTACCAATCAAAACCAACTTTAGTACGGATCGTTCTTTAATCTCCAAATGATACCCAGGTTTTATTCAAATTATATCAAACTTGACATACTGTTTGTCAAAGTTTTTTTTTAATTCAGACAAACTGTGAAAATGAGTCATTTTGAAAGAACTTTTTTCTAATTAACTTTAAAAAATGTTTTTCCAAACATATTTTTTGTCACACAGATAAACTACAGCATTTCATTAATTTATCTTTGACTACTAATTGTGTACTATAACCATTTGCTCATATTAAAAAAGGATTGTGATCTAGATTTTGAATTAGCTACTGGTCTTTGTTACCAAGACAGTGTCAAGCATACTTTATTAGGATGTCAAAGAAGAGGTCGCTGTAATCAAAATCCAACCTTCCGTATGTACCGTCCTACTGTCAGACCAAAATTTCTACTGATATTATGTATACATATTAACGAGGTTATGTGTCGAGTATCGGAGCGGGAGTGTGTTTCTATGTTAAGTAAATAAGACTGATTTATATTTAACACTCTTAAACGTATTTATTGAATAGAAACACCAAATTAATAATTTTGATACAAACACTTAACTTTTCTGAGGTAAAGATTCGGAACAATCGAAACGAGAAGTAATAGAAGTAATCGAGTTATAAAGAACGGCAGTAAATTGATCGTTAAAGTGTGCGTGTAAAACTTTGAAAAGAGGCGTATGTGTGTGCTCATGCAAAGGTGCGTGCTTCTTGCTCAACGACCAAGTACGAACTGGCTATTACATCGCGCAGCTACATCTAAAGAGCAAGCCGCTGCTTACTTTACAAAGCTATTGACTAACTAAAGAGACGCGGCGCATTGCGATTGGTTGTCTGGAAACTTGGCGTACTAGTGTGGCTGATTGGTTGATTTAATCAAGCGCGTAAACTTAAATCTTAGGACCTTAATATTAAACATTCCCCCCCCCCTTGCTTTGACGAGAGGAAAAGGAAGATTAATAATCTAACTACAAATCCTCATTCATTCGTAAAAGGACAAGTTTGGAAATTGGTCGGACAAAGGTAGAAGTAGCAGTGCTAACACCCAACAACTAGAAGGAGTATTTTCACCTTTAATCAAAACCAAATCGCCTACCTCTAATGATTTCTGTGGATGATACCATTTAGATCTACTTTGCAAATTCGCAAGATACTCCTGATGCCAACGACGCCAAAAATGCTGAGAACGTTAAGTTTTTAACTTCCAACGTTGCAAACATGAAATTTTAACATCAGTATAATCTAGCTCCGGTAGCAGCGTCACTGGCTTTAGATTAAGCAGATGGGCAGGGGTCAAAACGTCTAAATCACTAGGATCATCTCTTAAAGGAGATAGAGGTCGCAAATTCATACAAACTTCGACTTTACAAAGCAATGTGGAGTATTCGACAAAAGTTAAAGTCTGATTACCAACTACTCGCCGAAGATGATGCTTCATCAACTTTACAACTGATTCCCAGACTCCACCAAAATTCGGAGCAACGGGTAAAATGCCATTGAGTTTTCAAGGAACTCATTAGATACTGAAAAGATTTAGACTCCTTAAATTCGTACCACCTTCTACGCAATTCAATATCAGCACCCACAAAATTAGTACCACGATCACTATACAGATCAGAGCAATGGCCTCGACGAGAAATGAAACGCTGGAAGGCAGCAATAAAGGCGTCAGAACTATAATCTTCTACTATTTCTAAATGAACAGCCCTGGTACACATACAAGTGAAAATGGCTACGTAACCTTTGGTAGTACTTCTACCTCTAGACCTAGATAACTTAACTAAAAATGGACCGGCATAATCTACTCCAGTCTTTAAGAATGCGGGTACAGGTTGAACTTGAGCACTAGGTAAATCTGCCATTTGTTGAGTTAAGGTAGGGCCAGAGTACCGTCTACAAGTGATACAATTAACAAGAGCTGAATGAATCCACTGTCGTCCCCTGATAATCCAAAACTCCCGACGAATAGTACTCAAAGTAAGTTGAGGACCGCCATGCAAGGTGATCTTATTAGCATAGTTTATGACCAATTCAGTAAAGTGATCGCAAGCCGCCAACACTAAAGGATGCTTAGTTTCAAATGGCAGCAACGAATTACTCAAACAACCCCCTACCCTAATAAGTTGATTTTTGACTAACGGTTTTAACGGGATCAACTAACTATTTGACGAAAGTTTGAGCTTAACTTTATCGACAGAATGAGTGACTAAATTGAGCAAATGAAATTCAGCTGTAAAATGAATCAATTGATGCAAATGAGCCATCAGAAGTTTAGCATTATAAAGTTCAGGAACAGTAGGGCACGCACTAAAACTTTTTATTATGACGGTTCAGTTTAAAAAATCTAATTGAGACTTATCAAAGATGCGAACAAACAGCTTATAAATAAATCTAAGGTAATAAGCAGTAATTGTTAAAAGCTTCTCAAGAGTTGGATATCGATATTAAAGATCCCAAGTTTCAGGTTTAGCACTTTGATGATGAGAGACAGCATCAGAAGCTTTGCTAGGAACGTCATAATTTTCATTTGAAGTAAAAACAGGATACTCTGTGGATAGCTGATAAATCTCAAGAGGTCCTTGGAACCACAACGAATGCTTCAGTAACTGAGTGGGACAAACGCCTCTAGAGGCTATGTCAGCGGGATTGCTCTTACCTGAAACATGGTGCCACGTAGCTGTAGAAACTAACTGCATGATATTACTGCAACGATTAGCTACGAAAGTAGGCCAACGAGACGGCTGAGAACTTAACCAATACAACACGTCCTTTGAATCAGACCACAGATGGACTGCATCTACTCTGTGGTCCTGACTTTGACTGTGATATTGTACTAACTTTGATAACAATTGGGCAGCACAAAGTTCGAGCTTCGGAACGCTTAATGTTTTAAGAGGGGCTACTGTTTTAGCCGATAAAAGTGAAACATAAACTTCTTGATTAGCAACAACACGCAGATATAAAACAGCTGCATAGGCTAGTTTAGAAGCATCAGCGTAACCATGCAGCTCTATAGCTTGAACAACTGGTGAAAATTGAGTCCAACGAGGAATTCTAATTTGATTCAAAAATCGGATTTCTTGAAACCAACGAAGCCAGTCTGACAATAAGTTCTCTGGTATCAACGAATCCTATTCTAATTTAAGAAGCCACAGAGATTGCATGAAAATTTTTGCAAAAACAACGACAGGTCCTAACCAACCAAGTGGGTCGTATAATCTAGCTATATGGGAGAGTACAGATCTTTTGGTCCATGATGTCGGTACTAAGGGAAATTTAACTTGAAAACTAGAAACATCTTCTTTAAAATACCAGACGATGCCGAGCACTTCTACCGAAGAATCACGTTCATTCAATGGAATAATGGGCGAAGATTTTAAAAGTGTACTGGGTACACCAGCCAAATTATCTGGATCATTCGAAGACCACTTCCTAAGGGAAGAACCACCCAATGACATAACCTTTAAGAGCTAATCTCGTTTCTTAACTGCGTCACTTAATCTATGAGCTCCTGACAAAACATCGTCCATATAAATTTCTTTCATCAAAATGGGATAAGTTAAAGGAAACTCAAATTCGTAATCACTAGCCAACTGCTTGATCACTCTACAAGCTAGGTACGGAGAATAAGCTGGGCCATGAGTCACGGTTTTCAATTGATAAGCTAAAACCAGTTCTAAACTAGAGAAGCGCCAAAAGATACACTGATGTTTCTGATCAATCTCATCTACACAAACCAGACGAAACATCTTTTCTATATCAGACGGAAAAACAAACTTGTAAGATCTCCAAGAAGTGATAAGATCAAAAAGATTACACAACAAATTGGGCCCAACATGGAGTAAATCATTCAGAGAGATGCCCGCTTTGAATTTAGCTGAACCATTAAACACGGTACGGAGTTTCGTAGTTGTACTTGCAAGTTTAATTACTCCATGGTGGGGTCAGAACCAACCATCTTTGGTCTCATCAAGTTTTAACTTTACCATGTGATTAAGATCGATATACTCACGCATGAACAAACTATAAGCATCAAACAATACTGAGTTATTATGGAATATGCGCTCTAAATTTTTCTGCATAGTGATAGACAGAGTCTTAGCAGCATCACGTTCTTTAACTAATGGTTTCGGATCAGTCTTAAATGGAAGTCTAACTACATATCTACCAGTGCTATCTCTGTAATGGGTGTCAATAAAATGTTGTTCGCAAGCTCTTTCATCCCCTGTCCAAAGAGAATTTAGATCAGCAGGGAGTTCTTCTATTTTCCAAAAACGCTTCAACAAGGTAATAAGTTGATCCTCTTCAGCGCAATGCAAAGAAACTGCTCTACCACTAGTTGCTTCCTCGAAGCCCATAGAACCTGAGAGAATCCACCCTCATAAAGTACGAGTAGCAATAGGCTCATTAAGTTTGCCCTTCCGGACTGACCCTTCGACTATTTGAGCATGCACATCAGCTCCAAGTATGATATCAATATTATCCATACTTGTGTAACAAGGATCTGCTAATTTTAAACCTTCCAAATGACTAAAACTTGAAACACAACGATTAACAGACAAAAATGTCGAGTATTGGAGATATCATAGAAACATTTTTATTCATAGATTCAACAGAAAGAGCAGTCCGTGAAAACAAAGGTTTCTAATAGATAAATGCCATTATCTACTTAAGTGGTTACACGGCTAATACTACTTTACCAACAACTTATTGCAGATAATGAATGGTATACACAATGTAAACAATGAAAACATACTGATAAAACAATTTTAGAAGTAACTTATTCAGCAAGGCCTACATTTCAAAAAAAAAAATATTTTCTGTCAGTTACAAGCTTTTAAACAATATGATAATAATTTTCGGCATTAACAATAACAAATTGCTTTATTATTTTATGTTGTGACAAAAATAATAAACTAATATTTTTCTGAGTGGTTTAATAACAATAAGGCATATTATAAACATCAAGTGAAAGCATTAAAGAAATTTTAGGATTCAAAGTTGTTTAGGATCAAATGAGCGGACTGTATAACAAAGTTGAAGACCATACCTGGATACGGAGGGAGTACAAGAAAATACAGAGTTTGGCATAGGTAAACGATGATGAGCACCACTACACTAGTACTAATTCCGGTAGCAGTCAGACGTGCGGCCACTACCAGGAGTCAGAATCAAGTAAAGAACTTGATTGACGTTATTGTCTCTTTGGTGACTCTTCAAAAGTGACATTAGAGAGAGAGAGAGAGAGAGAGAAAGATACCATGACGACGTGAGTGGCTCTCAAAGTGTTTTACCCATCATTATTTTCAAGGTCATCTTGGTAATAGCCAACAAATATTTGGCAGTGAATAATGAGGTAAAAGTGAAGTTTAATCAACCCAATTGACATGTTTTGAAGAGTTAATTGCAAAAAGGGTTGATTTTACGTAATATTCTTCAATGTATTTCAAGGTTATAATTGATGTTTATTTTTATGTTACAGATAAGAGATTGGCTTGCTGATGAAGAGTCCAGCTGCTGCCTCGATAGCGATTACCCTAATAGTCACTACTAAAAAAAATGATGGTAAAATTCTTTGAGAGCCACTTACGTCCTCATGGCATCTCTCTCTCTCTCTCTCTCTCTCTCTCTCTCTTTCTTTCTCTCTCTGATGTCGCTTTTGAAAGTCACCAAAGAGACAATAACGTCAACCAAGTTCTTTACTTGATTCCGACTCCTGGTAGCGGCCGCACGGCTGCGACCGGCTGACAGCCACCAGAACCAGGTTAACTCCAAAAGTAAACAGTCATCAATCCCTATACTTAACATATTTCATCAATGTCACAAAATACTACATTACCCACTGCAGTCATCGCTATCGTTTTCCTACTTATCTACCATAGTATCGACATCTATGATATGCTGGCGAACTGCATGCAACGTTGCCATTTAGGGCTAGTGCAGGGAACGAATTAACGTCCTCTGGATGCACATAGCTAATGTGTTTCTGCAGGACTTACTTCTCTGTTCTATAAGCATGGTAGGATTATCCTTAAACGGAAAACTTATAATATAACGACCTGTAAAGTCACGAGTGAGTGTATTTAAGAAGAAACTCTTTCACTACAACTCACCATGATTTAGCTTACGTTTCAAGGAAGGAGGTTTCACAATCTCCCAAAATTTTTGTACTAACTGCTCGAGATCACATAACTCAGTGTTTATGAGCACGAGTGAATCTTGAGCCTTACTCCTTGGACTTATGGAAGTAGGACCTGAAAGTAGCCATTCTAATTCCGAAGAAGAAGCTATAGGTTCGTTAACGTTGCCTTGGAGGACCTCACTGTTTATTACGAAAGCATGTACAGATGCATCTAGCAACATATCAAACTTGTCAAGGGAATGGAACTATAAATCTGCTAAGGTCAAATTCTGATACTTAGTTAAGTCTAAAAAGCTACAGCCTGGGGTTGATACGATAACATCTTAGAGACGACCAAAGCTTCAACTTGACTTGAGAAAAGAAAGTACTAATGGATCTACACTTTAGTCTCAAGAGGTCTGCTAGAGGTTTTGTTATTATTGAACTCTGAGAACATTAATCGATTAGAGCGTAAACGAGAAAGTGGGAGCCATCTGAAGATGAAACTTTAGATGAGTTCTTAAATGCTGATACTTGACAATAAGGGAAACCTTAAACTTTCTGTGCACAAGGGCCCTGTAGATGTTGCGAAAATTTTTCCAGTCCTCGTACCTACCCGAGAAATGGGAAGTATCGATCACCGGTAGAAAAGCGGGATTATAAAGAGCGAGCATTGACTTCGCGTTGGAACCTTTCCTAGGGTCTTGATTTGAGGTAGATTCCAACGAAAGTAAGTGATCTCCATAATCACTAGATACTGTATAGTAAGAATTCTCAACAGTGTCATAACCAACTTTTGTAAAAAATTTGTAATTGTAGTCTGCAACGTCAAAGTCAAGTATCACAGTGTGGTTCGAGTTAATTTTCTCAATGGTAGCTTTAAGTTGGGTTAACTTATCCTTAGCCTGCCCATTGGTCATTTTTGATACTCCCGCTTCTTTAAAGTTTATAAAGGAGTTCCTTATTTTAGTACCTAAGGACCTTTGCTCTCCATTAAAGTTGTCCATATTGATTCAAAATGAATTAACTCAAAGGTTGCAAGGTAATGAAGGCTGATGAGCTTAGTAGACTAACAAACTAAGGATTACGAAGAAAAAACTAAGTTGAGCATTTAAGTGTACAAAAACGAAGTACAAAAAAATGTTAACCTGTTAATGTTATAAATATAAACTATATCTAAACTCAAAACTGGCATCACAAAATTAGTTGGCGCCAATTAAGCATGAATTCTCGTACAGCCTACAAAACTTATCAAGCTCCTAGAGCTTCTTTGTTTTATTTATTAATGGTTTATTACAATAAGTTACTCTATAAATAACGTTATCCAATAAATTACGAAACAAAAGTAATCATACTAATGATAAAGAATATAAAAAATTAATAACAGAAACATATTTATATAAATTATACTCTATTTTTAAAGGACGCAAACGCAGAAAGTCCCGTGGCTTGATGAACGTTGTCGAGGCGACGACGAGGCAAGTGCACAATGGCTGGCTGAGTATCCAGAAGCAGTGGCGTCGACTGGACGAGTAGGAGGCAGCCCGTAGAAACTCCCGTGGCAGCAACTCAGACTGCAGCTCAATGCGGTAATGTGTAGCGTCAACAAAGATGGCCGTGTAGCTCTTTGTTACGACGACACAATACGCCACTGCAAGAAGAATATGCTTGCTAGCGGCAATGGCTGTCTTTCAGCAATAAGCGATTTGTGTATGAACATAAGTATTGGGCACAGTGGCCTGTAAAGCGAACCGCGCGATATAGCTAGAGTGTGCTAGAAGAAGCACAACGCAGCCGAAGCTAATGTAGGCTGGAAAGCGAGCCAAGCGATATGGTAAGAGTGTGCGAGGAAACATAAAGCAGCTAAAGATGACATAGGCTGAAAAGCAAGCCGAGCTTTATGGGATGTTATGCTTACGTGTATGCGAGTGTAACGGCCGATGAGCTGGCGCGTCAACCACGTCTGCTCTGATCGCTGAGTAGCTTTCGAAAAAAAAGAGCCAAAATAGCCGATTCCGTGGCAACCACATGGTCAAAATTCATGTCAGTACTCCTCTCCCCCACATATCTGGCTCCAAGGACATGTTTAGGATCAATTAAGTGGACTGTATAATAAAGTTGAAGAGCATAGCTGGATACAAAAGGAGAAAAGAAAATACAGAGTTTGGCATAGGTAGACGATAATGAGCACCATTAAGCACGCACAACACTACATGGACAAGGAAACAATGTTATATTTATTAAATACACAACAAAAGAAAACTTTATAATACGCATTTATACGAGCTGAAAGTTATATGTTAAATTGAATAATACAATGTACTTAAATACCGTGTCGTTAGATAAACAAGACTTGTAAAATGATAAACTACATGATGTAGTGTACAGTAGGAGCAATCGGAGCAGACTTACTCTTGCAGCCAGCAGTACGCAGCGAGAACAGAATAGAAGCGTTCCTATTGGCTAGTGCCAGGGCTCGATTCTCGCATCAGATAATAATATAGACGACGCAGAAAATAACTCAGTCGATTTATAACAAAAGTGTTCAAAGAAGTTGTGTGACTCTAATGCTTGTCGGTAAATTAAAAATTCGTACAACCAATGGTATACAAGTGAATGTTTTGATACATGTAAATCATTGTATCATGAGGTGCAATGCATAGATGGCGGCACTTTCAAATACAAGCACTCTATATCTTCTATTCATGCTCTTTTGTTTTTTCAAGATTCAATATACTTACTAAAAACTCATGATATCAAACCACATTAACTCTTCATTAAAAAATTTCCTTAAAAAATAAATAAGAATGAGAAAAATATCCTCTCCAGGTGCTGATTGATTACACAACCTCCTGTTTACTAGACAGTTGCTTTACCACTTGAGCTACCAAGAAGTGGTACATTCACTCGCACCGTTAGTTTAGATAAGTTTTTCATTATTAATTCTCAGAGCTATCTTTTCACCAAAGCCCAGTAAAGTAGTAATGTGACTCTAATTCTTGTTGGTAACTTAGAAATTTATACGACCAATGGTATACATGCGAGTGTTTTGATACATGTAAGTCATTGTATCATGAGCTGCATGTGCATAGATAACGCAACTTTTTGATACAAGCACTCTATGTCCTCCATACAAGCACTTTTCTCTTTTCAAATTCAATATACTTACCTCAAACTCATAATATCAAACACCATTATTTCTTCTTCAAGAAAATTTTCTTAAGAAATAAATGGGAATGAGAAAAATAATCTGCACCTTAAGAGAATATTTCTCTTATTCTAATTTATTTCTCAAAAAAATTTTCTTGAAGGAGAATGAATGTGGTTTGATATTATGAGTTTTAGGAAAGTATATTGGATATCAAAAAAAAAAGGGCATGTATGAAGGATAAAGAGTGCTTGGATTGAAAAGTGCCGCCATCTATGCATAAGCAACTCATGATACAATGATTTTTATGTATCAAAACATTTGCTTTTATACTATTGGTCGTATGAATTTCTAAGTTGCCGACAACCATTAGAGTCCTATAACTACTTTATCGGGCTTTGGTGAAAAGATAGCTCTGAGAATTAATATTGAAAAACTTATCCAAACTAACGGTATGAGTAAATGTACAGCTCCTCGGTAACTCAAGTGGTAAAGCAACTATCTAGTAAACAGGAGGTTGTGTAATCAATCCGCATCCGGAGAGGATATTTTTCTCATTCTTATTCATTTTTTAAGAAAATATTTTAAAGAAGAATTAATGTGGCTTGATATTTTCAGTTTGAAGAAAGATTGTTCGATATTGAAAAAAAATGGTATGTATGAAGGATATAGAGTGCTTGTATTAAAAACTGCTGCCATCTATGCATATGCTCCTCATGATACGATGATTTTCATGTATCAAAACATTTGCTTTCATACTATTGGTCGTGTGAATTTATAATTTACTGACAAACAGTTACGTCCCATAACTACTCTATTGGACTTTGGTGAAAAGATAGCTATGAGAATTGAAAATAAAAAACTTATCTAAACTTACGGTGCGAGTGAATGTACAGCTCCTCGGTAGCTCAAGTAGTAGAGCAACTGTCTAGTAAACAGGAGGTTGTGTGTTCGATCAGTTTCTGGAGAGAATTTTTTTTTAATTCTTCTTTATTCCTTGAGAAAATTTACTTGAAGAAGAAATAATGTGGCTTAATACCATGAGTTTTAAGTTAGTGTATTGGATATTGAAAAAAAAGAAAAAAGGGCATGTATAGAGGATATAGAGTGCTTGTATCAAAATGTGCCGCCATCGATGCGTATGCACTTTATGATACAATGATTCACATGTATCAAAACATTCGCTTGTATACCACTGGTCTTACGAATTTTTAATTTACCAACAAGCATTAGAAACACATAACTCTTTTATCGGGCTTTGGTGAAAAGATAGCTTTACTAATTAATAATCAGAAACTTATTTATCTTACGCTGTTAGTGAATGTTTAGCTCCGTGGTTGCTTAAGTGGTAGAGCAACTGTCTAGGAAACAGGAGGTTGTGGGTTACGATCCAGATCCGGAGAGAATATTTTTCTCATTCTAATGAATTTCTTAAGAAAATTTTCTTAAGAAATTGAAGAAGAATTAACGTGGTTTAATATGACAAGAGTTAAGAGATAAGAGTTAAGAGTCCATGTATGGAGGATATAGAGTGCTTATATTCAAAAGTGCCGCCATCTATGCATATGCACCTCATGATACGATGATTTGCATGTATCAAAACATTTGCTTTTATACTATTGGTCGTATGAATTTATAATTTACCGACAAGCAGTTAAGTCCCATAACTACTCTATAGGGCTTTGGTAAAAAGATAGCTATGAGAATTGAAAATAAAAAACTTATCTTAACTTACGGTGCGAGTGAATGTACAGCTCCTCGGTAGCTCAAGTGGTAGAGCAACTCTCTAGTAAACAGGAGGTTGTGTGTTTGATCCGCTCCCGGAGTGAATATTTTTTTTTTTTTTATTTATTTCTCAAAGAAATTTTCAGGAAGAAGAATTAATTTGGTTAGATATTATGAGTGTTAAGTAAGTCTATTAGATTTTGAAAAAAAAGGACATGTACGGAGGATATAGAATGCTTGTATTAAAAAGTGACACTATCCATGCATATGCACCTTATGATACAATGATTTACATGTATCAAAACATTTACTTGTATACCCCAGCGGGAATTTGAAAATGTAAAAAAATGTTAGAAAAAGTGAAAATGT